TGTTGCTGATAGATCTAACCATTACACTTAAACTGTTATGCGTGCTTAAATAAAATGTCCTTCTCAGGTCATTTGACGGAAGACCACATTTTTATTTTCTATATAGGTGCACTGATGTTTGGTGGTTTCACTGATGGGAACGTTAGTAAAGAGCGAGCCAACGTCATATGAGAGAATCTTTTGGCGCGTTACGTTAAAACCTCTAATATTATCCTCCCAAGCAAATATACCTAGTAAACTGTGCTTAGTTATTCTCTTTCCGACGAGTTCTACCAATTTAGCCAGCATTTTTCCCCAGCATGATATGGTGATATGCATGTGTCCCAAATCAGTCTCAGCCATACTTCTTCTGTTTACTTACAATGAACCATACAACCTTGAAGTTGTTGAACGGAACCATACATGCGACCACCTTCAAACGTATTCGAACATCGGGGACGTCCTAAAACACCGAACAAGATCGTTTCTGGACACTGGTCCAATAGAATAGTGCCCATCCATCCGAAGTTGACTATCCGAGTGTCCGTTCTCCTATCTGCCGCCTAGAGACGTATACAATTAGTCTTAGGCTCGGAGCATCCCGCAACCTCCGGGAATCGCTGAGTGTTGTGGTTCATTCGATACGTTGACATCTAAATTATCTTAATTTAGCTTGCTCTAATAACAGGTCTTTTTGTGTTCTGTTCTGATCAGCTTGTAGATTAAGTTCATTCGAAACTAGTTTTTTTAATCTCCGCTTATGTATTCTTCAATACAAATGGCAAAACAGCACAATCAGAAAACCAACGGTGCTCCATTTGTCCTCGAATTTTAAATGTTTGTAATAATTTTCCCTGGATTTCAGATATGTGATTCAGTCGGTGCTATCTTACTAGCCGATATGTCCCACATCTCCGGTTTGGTTGCTGCTCGTGTTGTCCCCTCACCGTTCACTCATGCTGACGTAGTAAGCTCAACTACGCACAAAACACTGCGCGGTCCTCGATCTGGTATGATCTTCTATCGTCGCAAAGCACGTCCCGGGGCACAAGAACTTCAACCTCCTCCATACGTCCCTGCTGATCAACTGGAATCGCGTTTGAATAACGCCGTCTTCCCCTCGCTCCAGGGTGGACCGCATGAAAATGTCATTGCTGGTGTGGCGTGTATGGCGCGCGAGGTAAGTCAAGTCAAGTCAAGTATTTGCTTTATGCACCCCGAAAGGTGGATATTCAGCAGTCACATAGTCATCTAACAATTATCGAACAAAATTATAGCATAATTATCGTGAGCAGTGAAAATGAATACAATTTAAGAGATAACTGAGTAGAGGTTCGAAGCAATGCTTTCTGCGCTGACAAGAAATCTGGCAAGATAGGGNACCGATAAGCGGTCGTACGAGCAAATATACACTTATAACGGGACCGGGTGGAAGAGGAGGAAACACACTTGATAAGATCTTGATGTAATGGATGTGAAGGGTTATCCAAGATTTTTGTTGATAACGAAAAACATGACTTTGTATGTTGGGAAATGATGAAGTGGCAGATAGTTTCACGGGAAATCCCACTGCTTCTAGATAAGTGTGTTAATGATCTGGAAAGCAGTTTAAAGTCTTTTT